AAATCATTTGTATACCAAACCCCAGTGACGTGCAATTACCCACCTAACAAACCTGCACATGTACTCCCAAACAGAAAATAAAAGTTGGAAAAAAATGAAGGTTCTAGAGCAGTGATCCCCAACCTTTTTGGCACCAGGGACCCGTTTCATGGAAGACAATTAGGGGGCGGAGATGGGATGAAACTGTTCCACCTCAGGCCATCAGGCATTAGATTCTCATAAGGGGTGCGTAACAGGCGTCTGGGGACCCCTGTTCTTAGAGAATTTTCTGCTTTCTCTAAGTATGCATAGATTATGATAAATGTCTGCAGATTAACAAAAAGTCTTTCTTTGAAAGTTCGTCTTATCTTCTATTGCCTCAATTTTCTAAGATATTTAATGAGCATTATCTCTGTGGTTTGTTCTGCATTTTCGATGTAAGCTCAGTACTTCCTAAATTGCTCTTTTTAAAATCTCTCTGGATTGATTTCTATTTATCTGTGATGCTTACAGGTTCCTGGTCTTTCTGGAGGTACTTGAGAAACATGAAGGGTACAGCAGAAGAGAATCAAGAATCTTCCTACTGCAGCGTTTGGAGATGAGTGCACAGTGGTGTGGGTAACGGGGACCGAGGGGGACCGCTCTATCGCCCACGTGACGCAGGCTTCACCAGCTCCCTGTTGGAAAGCCTGTCCGTGCCGTTTCATCCTGGCTACAGCTAAATTGTAGAAGGGCAGAGTTGTCCTCTCCCTCATTTCTAGAGGCTTGGGTTCCGTGGGTGTGGAGTCGCACCCTTGGTAGTGACAAAGTCTAGATGCTTCTCTGCCCAGGAAACAGCTCTGGCACTGATCCAGAGGCCATCTGCTCTGTGGGGAGGGAAGTGGGAGTATGGGTGAGCAGGAAAAATGAGGTCAGCTTTCAGAGCAGTCAACCATCTCTGACGAGCTGGCCAGACTGCGAACTGCAGAATATTTACTGCAGGGAGACGTCGCGACAGGAGACGCTCAGTCTGGCCAGACCCAGAGCCCCCACCCCAGGGCATCAGGACAAGACAGTCACAAAACAGGGGACACGGATTCACACTGATTCACAGCCAGGCACCAAATCCCTTTATCGCACAGAGGTTTCCTCTGGTCCCTTCATTACTCGGGGGAAATGCATGAATTGGTCTGTTCTGGAGTTGGAAAGAAGAAATATAACGCACCCAGAACGACTGCAAGTTGGTGGCTTGTGTGAATCTTGGTTTATCTGGCTTTGCCACAGCAGGCTGGATTATGAGTCTGTCTGCATGCTCCCAAAGCAGTGGGCATCTCTTCACCTCTGCACTCACCTGGCTCCTCCCCACTGTGAGGACCTCAGGATAGGAACCAGGATTTCCAGCCCGAGGCTGCAGCCCCACCCGCCACCTAGCGCAGTGCCTGGCACTTGGCTGGATACTTGTGCAGCAAATTCTCTTTCATCTGAGGTTGGGAAGAAAGAGGAGGGATAGGCAGGGCACAGTGGCTCACATCTGTAATCCCAGCACTTTGGGAAGCCAAGGTGGGCCAAACATCACCAGGGGTCGGAGTTCAAGACCAGCCTGATCAACACAGAGAAATCCCGTCTCTACTAAAAACACAGAATTAGCTGGGTGTGGTGGCGCATGCCTATAATCCCAGCTACCCGGGAGGCTGAGGCAGAAAAATTGCTTCAACCTGGGAGGCGGAGGTTGCAGTGAGCTGAGATCACGCCATTGTACTCCAGCCTGGGCAACAAGAGTGAAACTCTGTCTCAAAAAAAAGAAAAAAGAGGAGGAATAGAATCATTGCACAAATGAAAGGAACACACCAATAATCCCTCATGGCCTGTTAAGTAGCATCTTCAGTGTCCCCGCCTTACACACAAACTCTCATCGCACTTTGAGTATTTTCCATGAAAGCACCAGTTCCATGCTCATCTGTCCTTGCTCGTTAGCGCCGGGGCAGCGGCTGAGTCTTCTGACTGGCCCCGGCCACGCGCTACGAGAGCACTGGAGTCGTGGAAGGTGAAATGTGAGTTGTCTGTGTAACATGAGGATGTGGCTCACACAACCCAGCGATGTGTTAAAAATACGGCCTGGGTAAAAGGATGTTTACCTGAGCATTTTATTTATAGCAGCAAAGACCTAAATTCTAATTAATTGGTGTTTGGGTATAATTAGATTGGTGCAAAAGTTATTGTGGTTTTTGCCATTGAAAGTAATGCCAAAAACCGCAATGACTTTTACACCAACCTAATTAGGACATTGCCATAGAGCGGATAATATCGATATAATGAATTATGCTACTGCTAAACAGAATATTTTAGGAAAACACATAAGGGCATGGGGAAATGTATCCAACGTATTAAGTGGAATGCAGGTCACAGAATTGAACCTGCTCACAATTTTACAGATTGCGAGATATGAAATATTAGGAGGAAGTATACCCAAACGTTACATAGTTTCCATCTGGGCCACGTCGACTTTTAAAGTCTTATTTAAACTTTATTTTACAACCAACATGTAACTTTTTATAATTTTCTAAATAGTATATTTTAAAACTGCAAACAAAACAAAATAAGCAGATCATCCCCTAATGCAAAGAAGCCCTTCTCTGTTCCTGCCCTGGATGGTCGCTTCCGAGATGAGACGTGAAGCCTCTCCCAGGACGCCACTGGTCCCTCATTCTCCTTATACACACAACCCAGATAATTCTATCCGAAAGTCTCGGGGCGATGAGATCCCTGCAGGTAAAACTAGTTCTTGTCTTTGTTACAGCAGATCTGAACAGGAACTGTATCTGGAAAAGATGTGGACAGCTGACGCTGGGGCAGCCTAGGAAAGCTGGAAGCAGGAGTGGGAGGCAAAGGCCCTCCCTGGGCGAGGGAGGCTGGAGCTGATCCTGCCGCTGGCTGTGTGGCCACAGTCACTCTGCGTCTCTGAGTATCATGTTCCCTGTCTGCAAAAGGAAGATCCCACACCTGCCCGCCTCCCTCATACACCTACCGTGTGGTTAAATGAAATAATGTGTATGTTCTGTTCTGCAATTTAGAAAGCACTCGGTGGAATGAAGAGTTCGGCAATCCAAGAATGCTAACATCTTAGGATAATATTCAATGTTTCCCACTTTCTTTCAAGATAGCAAGAGACACACACACTCTCAAACACTCTAGAAAACATCACCAGGAATTTTATCAACGTATTTAACTCACCTCGCGCATCCCTGGACCTTTGTCCAACGTAACAAAACTATGCCATATGTTCCCTAGACTTGCTCCCTTTTCTCCTGGGCTCATGGCTTGATTGGCTTCCCCAGGTTCCCAGTGGGAAGGCGGGGTCAAGAGACGAAACTGTCTGTCTGTCTGTCTGTCTCTCTTCTTTTTTACCGCTTCAGAGTCTTGCTCTGTCAGCCAGGCTGGAGTGCAATGGTGCAATCTCGGCTCACTGCAGCCTCTGCCTCCTGGGCTCAAGCAATCCTCCCATCTCAGCCTCCCAAGTAGCTGAGACTACAGGCTCATGCCACCATACCTGGATCATTTTTGTATTTTTAGTAGAGATGAGGTTTCTCCATATTGCTCAGGCTGAAATATAACTCCTGGGCTCAAGCAATCCACCCACCCAAAAGTGCTGGGATTATAAGTGTAAGCCACCATGCCCAGCAGAGACTGGACTCTTGTCACTGGAATATACATGTAAGCAATGCACATCCCTTTCAGGCAAAGCTGGGCCCCAAAATCCTCCTGGGAGATCCTCCATACACTCTCTCTTCCCTCATTTCCTGGCTGGTTACAGAAGATCTTGTGAAGGACTCTCGAGGCCCCTGGAAGATGGTGACACATTTGGTGGAAGAAGTCTGTGCCCCCACATCGCAGCAAAGCCACCCGCCCAACACCCACTATGACACAGACCCAAGTGAGAGAGAGCCTGAGGTCTTCAGGATGATGTGCTGTATGTGCCAACCACTTCTCTGAGTAACACACCCTTGACCATGGCCGCTCCTTCACTCCAGTGATGGTCAACGCTGTCCGCTGCTTCCCACCACTGATGCAGGGGACGGAGGGGCCACTTACATTAAAACTCCAGTCCTCAGCCAACAGAAACTCACCCAGGCAACATTAGAACATCTTTAAAGATTCCCTAGGAGACTGAAGACCTGTTTTTCATCTCTATGGGGAAACCTGGGGGCATGTGCTAATTTAAATAACTGAAAAGGAAAAAACACTTTTGGCAGCCCAGTCCCAACAGTTCTTAAAGTGAGTTGCACATAGAAGAGAGTGCGGGTCTACGAAGGGAGGAGAGGTTAGGAGGGCGTCTACACCTCTCTCAGACGGTCTAGACAGGGGAAGCAGAGTGCCAGCACGGACCACGGTTCCCTCATGTGTTTTACCCTCAGCAATGCCCAGCACTTCCCATGGGTTGCTTTAAAATCACGATTTCAGGGACTCACAGTACCCTTTGTTTCAAAAGCCTCTCACTCATTTGTGTTAATATCTCAAATCTCTGTTAACAGCACAACAATGATCCCCTACTATGTGGCAGGTATTGGGGTACGTGTCATGCAAACACTACCTCACTTACTTCTCATGACTCACGTCCATGTGCAAGTGGCGACTTGAGCCTGAGACAGGGCAAACCCCTCGTGCAAGGTCACATTGCTAATAAGTGGACAGGTCGGGCTTGGGCCCCACTCCAAGTATCTCCGTGGCCCTCCTCTTCACGGCCATGCCATGTGGTAAACCTGCTGGCTGAGAAGCCGCTGGCATCCCCTGGACCAGCAGGGTCTCTCAGGAAGGAGGCACTGAGGGCGGAGAAAGGGCAGCTGTGGGGGGTTTGGAGGATACAGAAGCACCCCCCACAGCAGGCACGGGTGGAGCACGCTGATGAGAACTCTGTGGGGCCACATGGAAACGCTAGGCTCTGAGTTACGGGGCTCCCAGGAGGAGGCAGAGGAAGGAAGTGCTCCCCACCTCTCTGCTTTCACTCTAGCCAGCCCTGCTCTTCCTGGCCCACACAGGCGACTTACCTGGTATGGGTACAGGGTGACCCCGTTGGTCCTCGACAGGGACCAGGTGCCTTCCAGGTACTGGTGAGCCTGGATGGCCACTGAATTGAGGATGTTCCCATTGCTTGGACTGGTGGCCATCTGGAGGCTGGCCTTGGCCTGGTGAGTCGGGGACCCACTCTTCTTTTCCGCCCCATTGCTGACCCCAAGGCTGCTGGGTTTGCTGCTGTGCTTGTTGACGAGGCCTGTGTAGTTGGAGGTGGCATAGGGGGCGGGCACAAAGGCCCAGTCCCTGGGCTGCTGGAGCCCACCCACGTGCCGGGACCCCACCAGGGTGGGGATGCTGAAGAGCGGCGGGGGCGAGCCGGGCGAGGCGTCGTACTGCTCACTGCCAGCGGCCTGCTCCAAGGCCAGCACCATCTGGACGGCCTCCTGCTTCAGCTGGTTCAGGTGAGTGGCACAAATGTCACAGCGGTTGTCCCGGTCATTCCACGCCTTCCGGATGGTGTTGGGGACCTGGAGTTTGTCATGAATCACAGCTGAGAAAGCAGGGTCCTAGAGAACACGGAAGCAGAGGAAAAGAAGATTCCATCACTCAAGGTTGCTCAGTGCAAGTCAGATACCTGGCTCACGAGCTAAGCCCTGGCTGTGCCCAAGGAGTTTGATGGTTTGACTGGCACCAACAGAAATGAGAAGCCACACTGGCGGAAAAGCCTCTACTTCCGATAAACACCTTTGACAAATGTAAGAATTTTATAGTGAAAACTTTTAAAAAGAAGTTAAAAAAAAAAAAGACTTTTAAGTATCCTCTTCGCCAGGCGGGTCAAACAAGAACATTCATATTCTGCCATCATTGTTTTGTTTTGCTTTTGAGACAGAGTCCTGCTCTGTCACCAGGCTGGAGTGCGCTGATGTGATCTTGGCTCACTGCAATCTCTGCCTCCTGGGTTCAAGCGATTCTCCTGCCTCAGCCTTCCAAGTAACTGGGACTACAGGCACCTGCCACCACATCTGACTAATTTTTTGTATTTTAGTACAGATGGAGTTTCACCATGTTGGCCAGGATGGTCTCGATCTCCTGACGTTGTGATCCACCTGCCTCAGCCTCCTAAAGTGCTGGGATAACAGGCGTGAGCCACTGCACCCGGCCTCTTATTCTTACATCCGCTAAAAAATTATGGCTTTCCCTGGGCTCTTGCAGGGTGTTCAATCAGAAGGAACAGACATTTGTCAGGCATGATGGGGGCGGGGCCGAAGCAGCCCGGCAACCCTGTGTAGACGGACTCCTGTTTACTGTTTGTCCCTTGGCAAGCTGACCATGTCTCTACCCGGGTATCCGATATTCTAACCCACCAACACAAAACAGTCCAAGATACTTTTCCCCTCAAACTTCATCTAAAACTACTATTTAAAAATATTGGCTGGGCGCAGTGGCTCAGGCCTGTAATCCCAGCACTTTGGGAGGCCGAGGTGGGTGGATCATGAGGTCAGGAGTTCAAGATCAGCCTAGCCAAGATGGTGAAACCCCGTCTCTACTAAAAATACCAAAATTAGTTGGGTGTGGTGGTGGGTGCCTGTAATTCCAGCTACTTGGGAGGCTGAGGCAGGGAACTGCTTGAACCCAGGAGGCAGAGGTTGCATTGAGGCGAGATCGTGCCGCTGCACTCCAGCCTGGGTGACAGAGAAAGACTCTGTCTCAAAAAAATAAAAATAAAAAAATCTTGCCAGGTGTGGTGGCTGGCACCCATAATCCCAGCTACTTGGGACGCTGAAGCTGGAGGATCCCTTAAGGCTAGAAGTCGAGACCAGCCTGAGCAGCATAGAGAGAAAATCTTACAAAATAATGTATATATTACTATTATATATATTTATAAAATGTTTATAGATAAAATAAAAAGCTAGGTCAGAGGCCCATATCGAAAAGAAATCAGGAAATGGATTGAATGACAGCAATGTCTCTTATTTACTTGGCTTTAATTGTTACAGGAAAGCAGGATCACACAGAGGAGCAAGCACCAGGAGTGTTCACTGAGGATCAGTTTCCAGTCCTGCCACCTGTGACCTGGGAGTTCTGTAGTGACCTCCTCTCATCTGCCACACAGGGTCACGGCCCATCCTCACTGTAAGGACCTTCCAGCTCCGTCACTCCATTTGTGGGGAAACTGGGACTGGAGAGTCTGGCCTGTGCATGTATGAACAGGGCTACTGTACCATTTGGGGGCCTGGGTGACCGGCTGAGGTTCAACAGTTCTTGCAGATAATTGATAAAACTGAACTCAAGGCTTATTTACCTCCAGGCCACTAGGGAGAAAATCTGCCCTTCTGAAATTCACTGTCAGCTTTTACGGGGCACAAGCCCCTTCAGAGCTGAATGGGGTTTGATGAGCGTAGGCAGGGAGGGTGGTGTGGGGAGGGGGCAGGAAGATCAGCACTTGGGGGTTGTTCTTAATTACGATCCATCTTGATTACAGGCTCTAGTGTTTTGTGTTCCCTGTTTCACTGCCCTGAACAGCTTCTCAGCGCGCACTGATCAATCGGTGCATAAATAAGAGGCCTCTTTCCACTGCAGCAGCAGCGAGTGGCTCAGGAGGGAGACACTCAGACAGTCACAATGGCGGGAAGCATGGGCAGGGAAGGCTGATCAAGTCTCCTTGAAGTGATGCAAACCACATGAGGCCTGCCTCGGGCGTCCTTCTCAATGACAGGGCCACAGAGGCTCCAATCACAACTCAGAGCTTAGGACCTGCAAAGGCCCCTTAGGGACCGTTCCAGAACAGAGCACCACCTCAGTTTACAGACAAACAGGTCCCAGAGGGTTAAAGTGTGGACCATGGCTGGACTTCCTAACCATCAGTACAGGTATCGATCAACTTACGACCTATGCAAGTTACGACCATTCGACTTTACGACCACAATCACTAGCCACGACTGCTCCGCGTCTGGCAGCGCAAACGTTGCCCAGCTGGGCGTACGACAGCGCGGACCAGCTTCCGGCAGCACTACCATCTCCGCGTGCATATAGCCTACTCAACTTACGACCAAATCGTGTTACGACTGGTCTGTCGGAACCAATCGTGGTCGTAAGTCGAGCACTAGCTGTATGTGATTTTTCACCCTAAGCCAAAGAGCCATTATCCATCCAGAGATTCACATTCTCCCACAGACACAGAAGGTTTCCACCCCCATGTTGTCACTAGGAAATGTTCATTTATGCAAACGACATGTATTTGGGCCCCAATATATGCAAAGACACAGTTTCCTGTGTTTTCACATAATGGCTTATGCTTTCAAGGCACCAAGCTGTTTGCTTTCAAGCAGCCTGCCATCGATTGCTTATTTAGAATACTTTTGTGACCCCATCATATGGAAGAAGTGCCACAGAAAGGCGGCGGCTGTAGGCGCAGGCATGCCTGCACATCACAGCTTATTTCGATAGTAGTCCTTGGAGTCTGGATTTGACTCTGACGTAGGGACGCATTCACTCTCCAGAAACCACGTGAGCCATCCCTGACTCTGAGGACCCCACTTCTTTTTTTTTTTTGAGATGGAGTCTTGTTCTGTCACCAGGCTGGAGTGCAGTGGCCCAGTCTCTGCTACCTGCAACCTCTACCTCCCAGGTTCAAGCGATTCTCCTGCCTCAGCATCCCGAGTAGCTGGGACTACAGGCATGCACCACCACACACAGCTAATTTTTGTATTTTTAGTAGAGACAGGGTTTCACCATGTTGGCCAGGATGATCTCGATCTCTTGACCTTGTGATCTGCCCACCTCGGCCTCCCAAAGTGCTGGGATTACAGATGTGAGCCACTGCGCCCGGCCCTCTTTTCTTCGTCTTTACTGCTCTTCCTTGAAGCACTACCTTCTTCATTCAGCTTACTGTCATTTGTGGCTCAGCTGCTGACATTTAACAAATAGGTATTTTGGTTTCCAGCATGCCAGGCATTGCCCCAGGCGGGGGTCTGAGGGTACATGAGAACGACACCCGTGCTCTGGGAGCTCACAGTCCACGGGGCCTTCCTGGTTCCTGGACTACCTAATGCCTCATGTCTCTGCTGCCACCTCTAGCCCAGTCTGCAGTGACTCCCAGGACCAATCCATACATGCTCAACACGTGGAGCTCAGTGCTCCCCCAGGGGTGACAACACATCAGCACCAGCTCCTGCTCCTCATGACGCTATTCCACTCACACCTGGGCCAGCCAGAGCAAGCCCAGCCAGCGCCGACATTCAGCGCACAGCTGAGCCCACCATCAACATGACCACCACAGACAGCCAGGAAGTAGCCAACAACCCGTTCCTGTCTTGTCCAGGGAAAAGCTGAGATTGAGAGTTTTTAACAAGTATGTGGTTGTTGGCTGATGTCAGAGGTGTTCCTTCAGTTAAGCAACCCTTGATCTAAAACCCTTTGTGAGCTCTTATCATCAAAAGGCCTCAGTAGATTAAGAGATACATCTTATGGAAACGAAAATCCCTTTAAAGTGCTTGTCCACACATTATACATAAATATTTTAGTACGACTCACAACTTGAAAAAGGAATGGTTTAACAGCCATAGCTTTCTGTAAGTGCTGAAATAAGAAGACACTACTTTAAATGAGGATAGTCATAAACAGGAAGAAAAGACAAACGGAGGCCGGGCACGGAGGCTCACGCCTGCAATCCCAGCACTTTGGGAGGCGGAGGTGGGCAGATCACAAGGTCAGGAGTTCAAGACCAGCCTTACCAACATGACGAAATTCCATCTCTACTAAAAATACACAAATCATCCAGGTATGGTGGTGTGGGCCTGCAGGCCCAGCTACTCAGGAGGCTGAGGCAGGAGAATCACTTGAGCCCAGGAGGCGGAGGTTGCAGTGAGCCGAGATCACACCACGGCACTCCAGTCTGGGCAACAGAGTAAGATTCCATCTCAAAAAAACAGATGAATGTTCTTTGCCCCTAAACCTACTCTTGCTCCAGTGGTCACTAGCAAAGTAAATAGTATCATAGTCCACCCGGGACCCAGGCCTGAAAGTTAGAACCTTCCTCAGGTCCTCCTTTTCGGTCACATTCAATCATCAAATTTCCAGATTGGTGATTGGTACTTCCAAGAAACTCTTGGCCGGTCCTTCCTCTCCACGCCCACTGCCACGTTCATGCTTTTAGATCTCTCACTCAACACAGTCCCCCCCGACTCCAGCCTTGATCTCACCTCCCCACAAGAAAATGACTTTACCAAAATTCAAATCCAATCATGTCATGACTCAGCTTTTCCGCACCTCCATTCTAAGAGCTATCTCATTGTCTGCAGTTTTCATTTGGACAAGTGTCTCCATTACAGTCACTGCGCCTGATGGGAAAATATTCTTTCTTTCTGTCTTCAATACCCTAGTGTCCAGCGGAGTGCCTGGAACATAGTAAGGTCTCAACAAATATGTGTGAAATAAATAAAGGAATGAAAGGAATTCCACCAAGGTAAAAAGTCAAGCAGTAAAGTCTATGCTCAGCATCCTGTATTTGGCCTAAATGAGTTTTTCGCCCATATTATAAAACTGTTATGGAAGAAACCCGAATCTA